AAATCATCCATCATCTGAACCTGAGACCACCCAGTTAGAGTCAGCGAGAAAGCCACGGAACGGACCCCGGCCGTATGTCCCTGGAGTGGTGGATGGACGAGCTTCTCAGACTGCACATCCCAAATACAGACCGTCGGTGGATGGACGAACTTCTCAGACTGCACATCCCAACCACAGACCGACTTGTAAGACGAGCCTGACACAATCTGCTTGCTGTCAGGAGAGAAAGCAACCGATAGAACCCGCGCCATATGCCCTCTGAGCGTGTGAATATGCTGCCCTGCGGTGGTGTTCCAAACCTGAATCGTGCAGTCCTGCAACCCCACCACTATGAGGTCTCGCGCTGAGGAGAAGGCGGCAGAGCAGACATCACTATCTGTATCACAGCGCACAGGTCGACGGGCCGGCTGTCCAGTCGCCGCATCTCGCACATGTATAGTGCAGCATGATGATCCGAGCGAGACAAAGAAGATGTGTTTTCCATCGTCGGAGAATTCCGCACAGAGGACGTTGTCATCGCCGTCCATGGTGCATTCCAAGGTGGGCCATTCTGATGATCCACCGCACACAACCGTAGCTGTTCTGGGGAGCTTTGATTCGTACAGCTGGCGCACTTGTGACCTCGCCGGTGCGAAAGGTACGGCTGAGAGATAAATGTGGGGGGCAGAAGACCCGATCACTACCCCGAAAGCACGGATGAACTTCAGGAAGTCCTCGATAATTGAGACCGTTTCCGGTCCTTCCGCAGTGTCCTAAGGGCGAAAGATGTATGTGAGCCGCATAAGACACATACACATGCGAAAGACACACCTTTGGAATCCACTCCTTGAGCTTCAGGAGGGCCGATGCGCAGGTGGAAACAGATCCTAGAAGACTCAAGACCTCGAGCCAGAACAGGAACTTGTCTTTCAGCAGTCGTTCCGCCATTTGCAGCAGGGCAGAGTTGTACGCCATTTCCTCGAGATGATCGGCCCAGTAGCGCGCGGAATAAACCAAGCTCGACGGGATGTTCTTGCGTACACGCTCCTCTAAGTCAGGGTAGTCCGTGTTGAGACGGTAGGATGTCTCGAGCTTGCACATATTGATGCGTAACCGCTCGCTCAGCATTTGCAAAGTCCCACGCGCAAAATCCCCGTGTTGTTCTATCCCAGGAGCAACGGAAAACTCCCCGCTGCGTTTGCGATCTAAAATAAAATCCCTAAAAGAGGTGTGCAAAGGCCGGACAACGATATCCGTGCCGTCGGTGCCAGACATAAGCGCCCCCATGCGTTTGAGCACACTCCCAAGCACTTCGTGGTCCAAGCCGTCATTTCGGCACAAGATGTGTTGCAACGCGTTGACGGAGAGCGGCTCCGCGGCTACGAGCACTAAGCTCATCACGCGACGGAAATTATCCCTGGCCTGAGGATAGACGGACCGGAACGCCGACTGCAGCACTTGCGAGTACAGTTCGTCGAGGTTCCGCGCGGCTTCACCGGACAAGATATCCATCCTTTGCTTGACCGGCAGCTCCACGGTATCGTCGACTAAGAAACGACAAGCAGTCGCAGCCCATTGAAAGAGTCCTTCGGATGAGTCGACGATCTTGGTACGTAGCACTGGAAGATCCCACGCTTCAAAGAGAGACTGAGGCAGCCTATCGCAAACATATACATCTATGTCACTCCTGTTGGTCGATTCATCTACATCGGTCATCGATTTTGCGTTGACGCAGGCAGCCTTCCCGAGCCCGTTCATGATGTCGTGCTCCGGCCGGCAAGTAACGAGGATCCGGAAATTGGGAGGAAGCGCTTTCTGTTGCTCTTCATTCTTCAAGACTGACAGGAGACTGCTGCGCTCGCACGCGTCACATTCGTCTAGAGCGTCGATGACGATCACGATTGGACCTGAGATCGCGAGCTGATCTGCCGGTTCGACGATCAAGCGTCGGAACTGTTCGAGGAGGTCATCGGAAGTGATCAGAGCAGAGTCTTGAGCGATGGCGTTCGAAAGCGTGTATCTCATCTGAGGGTCGCGTTCGGACAGATCGCGGGCGATGGTAGGGATAACGGGAGTAGCACGCGTAAGTTTTTCCTTGGACCTGTCAAAGCAATAGGAGGATCCCAGGCGACGGATCTCATGGAACATGGCAGCTATCGTGTGAGCGATTGCCGACTTGCCCGTTCCCGCTGGACCAGAGAGCAAAAGCATGCGGCGAGTATCGTCCGGATCGTTGATCCAGTCGATAATAATCTGCAGAATCCG